GTACCCGCCCCCTCCCCCGTCCGTTCCGCCAGTCAGCGCTGGAGGATCGGGGAGGGGGCCCCTGATACGGCAGAGAGCCGTGACAGGATCGAGAAGTTCGGCGATTTATCAGCAGCAACCGCAGCAACCGCACTATCACCTTCCCATTCCCTTTGCAGTATATAATTTTCTTTGAATTACTAGCATTGTACACTTTAGCTAGGTATGAAGCCAAGAACATAATGTCTAATTTGTATCAGATCATTAGACATGAGGTTGTGCAGATCAAATAAATACTTTCTGAATTATATGTTGGCCATGCCGACAAAAGCTGGAAGCTCACTTTTGAGAGACATGAAAGCAATATATTTTTCTTTCAGGTAAAAAGTGTAAAAAATCAATAGCCCCTAGTGAGGACTGTAACACCATCTTTTAGCATCTATAAAGAAGTTAAAAGCATGTCTTTATACTGGCTTCATAAAAGCCATCTCCTTCTCACTGGTCACAGCACTGAATAGCCTTGCAGATCAGATTCCTGAATGACACTTTAGCATGGCTGTTATTCTGAAGCTGCTCAACTCTCCTTCCTCTGATGGATGACACTGCATAATGTTTATATAGCAATAAAGACACGTTACAGACATTTCATTAGCTGCACTCCAGCTTCCAAGCATGGCTTTTGTTGCATTAACTCTACACATGGCTTTTACTAAAGGAACTCAAGTGCATAATTAAAGTAGGACTCAAGGTAGATATTTATCTTTGTTTTGGATAGTATGGAGAAGGGTTAGATATGTTGGCGTTATATCTTTATGCTTCCTGTCTCCAGCGATATAACAGGAAGTATAGGTGAAATTTTACCAACATATGGGAGTATACTACCTTCGAAAACTGTTACCAGAACAAGTGCCCCACGGGGCGGACTGACCATATGTCACCGACCCCTCCCCCCACCCGGTTCCCTTACCAGCCCGCATGGAAAGAGACATGGCTGTGTTAAAGCGGCGACGGCAGTATCGCCTGCCTCCCATGCCCACCAGACACTGCTGTCGCTGCTTTAATACAGTGGCATCTCCAAGTTTTGCAGCAGCGCGGCCTAAAAGAGCTCAAAGGTAGCGGGGGGCATGTTACGATAGGGGGTGTATGGTTGGAGGGTGGACCTACCCCCGATGTGGCTGCAGGAGAGCCCGAAGCTGGGGGGCCTTACTGTAGGAATGGTGCCCGCATCTGCCCCTGGTTAAACCTCTGAATCTGCTCTTGGTGAGACCTTTGCATCTGCCCCTGGTGAGACCTCCGCATCTGGCCCTAGTGAGACCTCTGCATCTGCCCCTAGTGAGGCTTCCGCATCTGCCCCTAATGATACCATCCACATCTGCCCCTGTTTAGACCCTCCGCATTTGCCCCTGCTTAGACCCTCCGCATCTGCCCCTGGTGAGACCCTCCGCATCTGCCCCTAGTGAGACCCTCAGCATCTGCCCCAGGTGAGACCCCCTGCATCTGCCCCTGGTGAGACCCCCTGCATCTGCCCCTGGTGAGACCCTCCGCATCTGCCCCTGGTGAGACCCTCCGCATCTGCCCCTGGTGAGACCCTCTGCATCTGCCCCTGGTGAGACCCTCCGCATCTGCCCTTGGTGAGACCTCCGCATCTGCCCCTGCTTAGACCCTCCGCATCTGCCCCTGCTTAGACCCTCCGCATATGCCCCCAGTGAGACCCTCTGCATCTGCCCCAGCTTAGACCTTCTCTCTGTTCCCACCTCCAGGGGGTACAGGACATGAGACACAAGAGAAACCTTCTTGTCTTACTGGTCTCCTACCAGGTAAGTGATAGAGACCTTGGAGAAATGTATACAAGGGTGAGCTAGTAAAATGCAAGCTACATACATTATGGGGCAGCACAGTGGCGCAGCGTTTAGCACTTCTGCCTTGCAGCACTGGGGGTCCCCAGTTCAAATCCCGGCCAGGTCACTATCTGCAAGCAGTTTGCATGTTCTCCCTGTGCTTGCATGGGTTTCCTCTGGGTACTCTGGTTTCCTTCCACACTCCAAAGACATGCTGGTAGGTTAATTGGCTCCTTTCTAAATTGGCCCACTATGTATGCATGTGAGACAGGCACCTTAGATTGTAAGCTCCTTGAGGGTAGAGTCCGAGTTTAGTCTTGCCTAGGGCAGCACAAAACCTAAATACACCACTGTGTGAATGTACAACTATGTAAAGTGCTGTGTAACTTGTCGGCACTATAGAAATCCATGTAATAATAATAATGATGTTGAAAATGATAAGCCAAAATACACATCAGTAAAGACTTTGACTTTACACACTGTATTTGTTTTATTCTTTGAGTTCATGTCACAGGATCACTGTGCAGATCTTTATCATTAATGGGTGATAATATATGTTTTTAATCAGTAAGAAGGTTAGGTGTAACATTTTGCTAGAATAAAAACTACTTGTACTCACATGTCTCTCACATTCCACCCACATTGTCACTCTTGCAGCCCCAACCAGGATCCATCTTTTATCTTTCCTCCCATTTCACCCAATCCATTTATCTCCTGTATTCATTACCCTTCCCATCTATTATATTTTCTTCCATTTTCTATTCCTTGATCCACTTTCTTTATCCTGCCCTTGATTTTGTCAACTTAACCATAACCCTATTAATCCTACTAAAGGGAAATTCATCCATGAATGCCATATGCCAACAAGCTTTTTACAGGATGCATGAACACTATCACTGTACAATGTGTAAAACAAAATAACTGCAACACTAATGTGCGGTATGTAATCTAATAACCTAAATAGAAAGTAAATTCAGAATGGTGATACAGTTTAATACTAACCAATAATCCACTGTATCCTAGTACATTCATTAGCAAATAATAAACACTTAAGTAGAAACTCTACAATTGTATTTTCTATCATATTTTAGTATGGATTGAGATCTTTTCTATTGAAATTCAGCAGCCACCGTTCAACTGCTTATCTAGTCACATCCACAGCAATGAGAGAAGTGGAGCTGCCAGAAAGATGATGGGTAGGTTAAATTTATGGCACTCTAAATGTTCAGTTCATATGGCACAAGCTGGGCCGCAGCCATCTTCAAAGCACTAATATTGGTGTCATTTCAAGGCTACGCTGTGGCTGACAGTTTTCTATTCTTCCTCCAGGCAGCCATCTGATTTCATGTTTTGGTGGAGATTCTAAGGAAAATAAATGATAGCACAAACAGCAGAGCTCACTAGATTCAACCAACCTCTTAGGGTTTAGTCACACTAGATGTAGTATCATACATTACGTCACATCATCCAGCCCAGACAAAATTTCAAGAAGAACTCCGGGAATTTTAAAAAAACGTAGCCTTGCACTGGCTGTGAAATGTCACTTGGCGTCCTAACGGCTAATGCAAGTCAATAGACCTGCAATAGATGTGTAGAAGCCATGGGAGCGCAGGGGAGAACAGGTACCAGGGACTCGTCTAGTAGCCTGGTGGTATTGAGGATCAGGTAAGTATATCTGCTTTTTTTGACCCCCCCCCCCAAAAACAAAAAACAAAATGAGCACCTAATTCTTGCAGTGCGGGGGGAAGCCCCACTGCAAGGGAAGGTTTTTTGTTTTTTTCCTGGAGTTCTTTAGGGCAGCAGAAAATCCATATTTCACACCAATGCAAATTGTTGACTTCAAGCAAGATTTTGATTGTGTTCTCCTGCAGACTATCATTCAAGTCAATTCCAATGGGGTCTTTAAAAAATGCAGTGCAACATGTCTAAAGGTGCCCATAACCTTACGATTATCGTACGATAATCGTATGCGATCGACTTTTCGTACGACAATCGTAACGCATGAATAGAGTGCTCGACCGATAGTACTGTACAATCTATCAGATTCCACTGCCTGGGTATAGTATTCTGACAGTTGGCACCCACAGCTGTCAGAATACCTGAACAGTGGCTGCAGTCACAAAATTCAATTGAATATTCAGCTTTTGTCGAACCAGGTGATGCTGGCAGGGTCACCCACAGTTCAAATTGAGCAGGATAAGCAACACTTTCCAAACTGCCTGTTTGAAGGGAACATTTATGGGTCCATTTCTAATTGGCAGCGGATAGACCTGGGCACTGTCCACTATACTCTATATGCATTGTAGGTCCACACTGTGGTCTACATTTTAGGACCCATTTATTAAATGCAGCCTGTCGTGTGGAGCTTGTGCTGCCCCAGTGAGTTATCTTTGCGTAGAACAGCATAAATAGCTCCATGATTGGAGAAGGGTTAGTCATGTGACTTTGGCAGGTCACATGAGCGGGCTCTCCTCCCAATTTTACTTTTCTACAAATAACTTTCATTAATTTCTATAGCGAGATTGCCAGACCCGCCCGCATCCACGCTCCACACACCGCACCTCCTCCCTGCCTCACATCACCCGACCATGCACACTACCGTTACATGGATGGCAAAAGTGGCAGACGGGCAAGGAGAAGGCGGGGGGAAGAGGCAGAGCGGGAGGGAGGCCAAGTTGCTGCACCATGGGCCTCTAGGTTGTACTTGCCCCCTGGGCTAAAAGTTGCCAGTCAGCCCCTGGAGACAAGACACAGAGAGCGCCTCAAGGCGCTCTCTGTTTCTTGTCTTGCAGTGCTGAGGTTGTTCTGAACCTGGTGAGAGCCGCCCCGTTATCGCCCTGCAGTCCTGAACATCATTGATTAATACTCTCTTGAACCAAAATCTGCTGGCACGGTGTTTGATTCTGTCTGCAATTTCTATAGCGCTCTGGGAAGCGGCCAAAGTACTGCTTTTAAATGTCCCCCTTTAGCTTGCTATACACTGCTTGAATTTGAGGTAATCAGCTGCAGTCAATGTTCATGTATTCTGACAGCGGTGGTTGCAGTCTGTGGGGCTGAACAGGAAAAATGTTGGACGGCTTATTGTTTCATAGTGTATTGTGTATATGACTGAACTATATACACAGACCAATGCATCATCAACATTATGCCTGAAATGGACACAGATAAATTATTGAGTGGTACCTTGACAAGTAAAGCAGCGGATGTGGAAGTGGTTGGTTTGCACCCTCACTACTTCTCCTTTACACGTCTCTCCACATCGATAGCACTGGATGGGACCCGCATTTCCTGATGAACTATAGGAGTTGTGTTGTTGGTAGGGCACTGATGGAAACAAGATTAAAGATTAATATGAGAATATTAAAGTGCTGTAATAAAGTAGAAAATGTTAATTAATTGTAAAAAAAATATCCTGACAAGCATGAGTTAAACCTCATAGATTTCATTGGCATTAAGATAGAACTGAAAAGACCCATTTAGAAAATGAAAAGGAATATAAGAAGTAAAAAGATTTTGGTTATCATTTTTTTCAGTGCAAGAACATGAACATTATCTTCAGACTAGTTACTAAAGGCAACAAGTCCATCTTTCCCCAAAACAGAAAGTAAGGGGAAATTTCTCTGAAGAAGCCACTGAAGGAAATAAAACCAGACAGGGGTTCCAATGCTTCCCCATTCTATCCACAACTAGAAAAAAAATGGGCATAGATACATTTTCATTCTTTCACTGCCAGAGCTGCCTTTGCATGTTTTTTTTTTACACATGTTAAATGCACAATTTAGGCCCCAATAGCACTTAACACCCCCCCCCAAGAATTTTATATTTCCCGAAAGCAGAGACCCTGTCGAATATAGTGATGGCAGTTGCAATTTTTAATATCACATGATATTAGCGCAGCTGTTTATTAAACGTACATTTTCAATGAAAAATACACTCTCCTTATGCATCCGACAACCACGATGCTAGTCCCTAGCCTGCAGAAGGGGCAGCGGAGCTCAGGAAACACAGCGTAGGTTGTTAGGTGGCGGGGGGGGGGGCACATTTCAGAGCCTTTGAAAGTGACAGGGCAGCTTTACAGTCACCCTACAGTCAGCTTTACACATGTAAACTGACTGCTATAGCAGCTGGGAGTCTACTTACAGAGTCCTGCTGCTGCGGACATATGGTATTTTAGTGGGTGACAAACTTCCTGTTATAGAGTAACATACCTCTGTCCCCGATATATCGGCAGAAAATTGCACTTTTGGCATAATACCGAAAGTGCCATTTTCTGTCCGAAATAGCGATGCATCTGTTCTTTCTCTCCTGCACGCTGGGCACTGCTCTGTGTCCCAGCAGGGAGGAGAGAAACTGTCACAGGCGGCCAAGCGCTGCGGGAGGAGAGCGCTGTGATCGGCCGGCGTCTCTCCTCCCACAGCGTGTCAGGAAGGAGAGCGAGTACAAACACTCAGCGATCAGTGATTGCTGAGTGTTTGTAAATAATTGAGGATATAGTATGGTTACTATATCCTCAATTATGAATGATTGAGGTCTCTGTGTTCTCAATCTTTTTTTTTTACTTTAAAAGGGAAGTATCAGCGGTCTTATATTTCCCCAAAGCCCCTAAAGGTAAAGTAAAAAATACAAATATTTAATACAAAATTAATAAAAAAATAATTATTAAACAAATTAAAAAGTTTATAAAAAATAAATATAAATAAAATAAATATACAATATTTTTAAACAGTTAAAATAAAAAACATTTTCGGTTTCAGCCTGACATATTTTTTATTTCAGTTTCGTTTTGGTTTTGCCATTTTCATTTCGGTGCACCTCTAGTTATCACCCTGTCACGCAGGCTTCCAGTGGTGACTATATGTGGCCTTTTCTACACACAATTGGCCCCTTTTTAGATGGATGGTCCAATCAGGTCTGCTTTTCAGATGGACCCAATCAGATGCCCAATGTAAGTCTTTGGGCAGTCGGATCTAAAAAGACGGGCGTCTGTTCACATCCAGTGGCCCCCGACTTCAGCCTGGTCCAGAAAACCAAGTGGAACAGTGTTCCCTTTCACCGTACCTGATCGTGCTGAATCAAAGGTAATCTGATAACAGAAACATGTCCATTTATATATGATTCTCCATAGTCTGACATGGGGCCAGTCATTTCAGTTTTTTCCTTCATTGAAAGATGGAGGAAAGAACTGGATGGATACAAATGTCACAGTGGTGGCATCCGATCCGTACCACTCTGATCAAGAGGAAATCCATGCATTGATCCCATCCTGATCGGATAGTGTGAAAGGGGCCTTATACAGGCATGGATCACTGTTGTCACAGTCAGGAAACCCACTCTTAGGAATGTCATGCAGCCAATACTGAATGAATGCATGCGGACAGGAAGTGCCAGGAAGAGCAAAGGAAATCGGCAGCATTGAGATGCAACAAAAGCATAAAATAAAGTATTAAAGAAAGGAAATTGTTTATGATGCACAGTGCTTACAGCAAGCTACATTTTGTTATGTAAGTGTTTATATCTAGTTTAAACAAACAGGTATCCCATATGCTCTGGGATAAAATAGTGAAATGCAGGTATGCTACTTGGGTATTTTTTCTACTACAAATACCAGCATGCTAAATGATGTAGTGCTGCAATAAAAGAGCATTAGTTGCTAAAAGAACCAAATGATTTCAGCATTCTGCTATGACAAAGAGCATGGTCATGTCTTAGGATAGGATTGCATGACAATAACTGGAAAGCTTTGAGAACGGTAGTAATAAATACACATTTGTCTGTATCTGGATACCTGGAAACCTCTTTTACAGCGTCTATTTCACAGCAATCACCTGTCCATTTCAGAGCTTTAAAACTACAGAACAATAGCAGATAGCTGGTGAAGATCAGCTAGCGAAATAGCTCCAAGTCCAACATCACATTCCTGGGTATAGATTGAGGTGACAGGGAACCAAACTGAAGTTCACCAAGAGGTTTGGATGTATTAATTTGAGCATTGTGATCTCAGGGCATGTGCTGGGTCAAAGCAGCCTATTCATGCTCGTGATCACGTTGGTTGACATCCAAACTTTTCCCCAGTATTACATCTAGATAACCTTTTCAGACACTGCACAGACTTGCTCTGCCGCTCCTGGGTTTTCATCCATAGATCTGCTATTCCCTTAAGGGCCATAACAGCAGATAATGAAGGTTATTCCTTCACCCTTTCCTACCCTTATCGCAACCTGTCAGCGCTTGTCTGCAAATTCCTGCCAGATTATGACAGAACTATCATAAAAACAGATGAAAATATTTGTAATATTCCTTTGCGGAAACATGTTTGGGGATGTCTATGATGTGCTGAAGGTGGTATGTTTTTTTCTGTATTGTGACCAATTATGCTTTTTTTTTTTTTTTACTATTGTTAAACTGTATTGCTTGCTATGCATTAACTTGTACCCAAATCTAAATTGGGGTTGATTTACTAAAGTTGGTCATGCACCTTTAGAATTCTCTCATTCAGCCACACGGATGGAATGAGAGAAGCCAGTCGATTCCCCTATCCATGCTATATAGCATGCATGAAGATATCTTCCCTGCCGACAATTCAATTCAGCAACTGGCGGGACCCACGTCTGCTGTATTCTAATTGCATCTAATTGGATGCAGTCACTGTTTGGCCAACAATTTTTAATTGGCCATACAAGTTAATTGAAAAGTCTACTTTTGTCACGTTGTGGGGAAATGACAGGGCCACCTGCAGTTTGAATATCTGAATCGGCCAAAATTCAAGCAGTGTAAGGCCAGCTAAAAGGAGCAGAGGCTGTTCACGGTGCAAAGGGAACAGCCAGTAAATCAAGTAAACCTGCTTTTACTTTGACTACCCAATCATGAGCGAGGAAAATTAAAACAGGAATTTCACTAGTACATCACAAGTTGATTGACATGATCAGAACTTGATTGACATGATCAGATCAGATCCTGGGACATGCAGCCCGGGACCGTGCGAGCATGTGCTGTTGTGCACAGCGGTTGCTGTGCAGCCCCATTGATTTCAATGAGGTTACAACCGTACGGCAATCGCTGAAACAGGGGTGCCATTAAAAAATAACGGCGCCGCCAGCGTGATCAGCGGTGGTGTACGAATCCGTGACTGCGTGGCCATCCAGGCAGTTTCGTGCATGATTGCCGCTTGCTCACGGATCGCCCAGGTGTGAACCTGGCCTCACCAGACTCTAACTTGGGTGGTCAATCTCAGTATTTCCTGCACATTAGAAAAGGTAGATTATCAGAACCTATATTATTTAAAGCTGAACTCAGGGAATTACACAAAAAAATCCCT